ATGGATGCTGTGCTCGCCGTTATCCCGGGAGGTCTGACAAAGGAACTTCAACCGCTCGACATCGGTGTGAAGCGGCCGTTCAAAGTAAGGCTGCGAGCGGCGTGGGAGCGATGGATGACAGACTGAGACCACAGTTTCAGGATAAGTGGAAGGCAGCGCCGGGCAAGTTACGCCACAGTTTGCGGATGGATTGTAGATGCTTGGACTAACGTGTCTGCTGGCTCTGTTGTTCAAGCTTTCGCAAAAGCCGGCATTATTTCTGAGGAGCCGCCCGGCACGGAAAGTGACTCTGACAGCGAAGAAGGGGAAATTGGCATGTCTGATTTAGCGCAGCTTTTTAATTCAGAAACAGAGGATGATGACTTTGATGGGTTTGATTAATACTTTGTAATAAATACATTAATAAAGCACAATCATACTCAGTTTTGCTCCCGCTCTATTTTTCTACCTGAACACTTAATTCAACAGCAGCCTCTGGGCGGGTCTCCTCCTCTTCACCGCGGCGGCTGGCAGGTGTTTTTTCATCTAAATAATCTAAATCTTGCAGCTATATTTGCTGTGATCAGTGGGAATAAAGTAGTTTTAATATGTTTTTAAGTGAGAAAGTCCACCTGAAAACTTCATAATTGCAGTCAGTTCATCCAGATTATCTATTTCTGTCGGAGGCGCTCAGACCCCCACATTCCAGCGGTGCACTGACAGCAGAAATCCCTTCATCAGCAGCCTCTAGGCTGGGCAGCCTCCGGGTTCACGCGGTGGCTGGCAGGTGTTTTTCATCTAAATAATTTTAGCTGCAGGCACCAGGATACCGGTAATAAAAGCGAACAAATTCCGTCGGCAGGTTTCAGGATTTTAAGTTAATTTAGGAGTGACCACAGCGCTGTGTCATCTGTGATGTGTCTGTCTCACGGCCAGCTGCCAGGTTTGATTAATACTTTGTAATAAATACATGAATAAAGCACAGTCATACTCAGTTTTGCCCCCGCTGTATTTTTAAATACGCAGTAGAGGTATTTAAAGGTAGTAGAGGACATGTACCGGTATATAAAAAACGCGCCCTATAGTCCGGTGCGCCTTATGTGTGTGTTAAATACAGAAATGGGACACATAACTGAGAGTGCGCCTTTTAGTAAGGTGCGCCTTATGGTCGTGAAAATACGGTAATTGACTTTGATTGTGTTAGTTACATTGGCAGGGGTTTTCAAAGTTTTCCAGGCCAAGGACCCCCAGACTGATGCCGAGATGGAATGGGGACCCCCTAATTTTATATATATTGTATGAAAGTGTGTTATATCAAACTGGTCCTATAGTCACTCTATTACATATGTAGTAATGTAATTAAAGTAATTTCTACCTGGGATTATTAAAGTATTTCTGATTCTGATTCCTGGTTGACGGGACAGGTGTTGTGAATGAAAGGGTGCCCAGCTTGAAAGAGCTCCTGTGTGTCTCTGAATGTGTGAACTGATGACTTAAATACATTTTCTGCCTCAATTTATCTGTTTACTACAGGGAGTCAAATTCATCTTAATGTGTATTTAAAGACATTTCAATGAGTGGAAAAAATTTCAGGCGGGAATAAAAAAAAAAAAAAAAAAGTCTAATCAACCAAAACTTTCGCGACCCCCATGCAGTATCTCCGTGGACCCCCTAGGGGTCGCGGACCGCCTTTTGAAGACCTCCGCCCTAAAGGGCAAAGGGTTTCTTTTCCCCATGTTGGTCATTCTTTTTCTTTGTTTCTTTTTGTGACCATTTTATTCACTTCTTTGACTCCACCCACCATGTTTAAAAACCAATTTTTCTTTGTCAAATCTGTGAAAATATGTAATTGGGATGAATTTGTTCTGAGTACAGGAAATAAAACATAAAGTTGTGAATTCCAGTAATAAAACTCTAGCCAACTTTGCCACAGTTATTACTGATAATAAGAAGATGAAAGAAAAAAAAACTTTAGATAGAGGTAAAGTAACACAGCTGATATGTACTCTGCTGAGGCAGACTTCCCTGTTTAATTGCTTTTGGAGTGATGGGAAAAGAAAGACGAGGAGAATTAATTCCAGGTGGGATTACAATTTTCTTATCTAAAAACAAACTGTGACTATTTCACTAGTTACATATGAAGCTGAGTTAAAAATCACTTGTAATTGAGATGAAGCTTGAAATAATCCAGACTTGACTGTCCTTTGATTAGTGTCTCTGTTTTTTCTTCTGCATACCCTGGAAGCAGAGGCCCACTCTTTATTCATTTTGGTAAGTTGATATTTCAAAAACGGCAAGAGGATTTTATTTATATATTTAAATGTAATCACTGAATTTTTACATGACAGGTTGAGTTTAAACCAAATGCCAATCAATTCTGTTTTAGTGAGGCAATCAGAAAACATGAACTGTTAAGGAAATCGAACTGGGATCTGAATGAAAAAGTGCAGGAAACTGTTCTCCAGTAGGAACTGTTTTGCATTTTCAACCAAAACAATCCTAGTACTTTCAAATGGACCTGCCTTGCTACAAAATGTATTCTATAGGACACATTTCATTCATGGTGATGGGATCTGGTCAGTTCCTGCACTGTACAGGTCAGGGTAAGGAGATAGAGGAGCAGACTTAGAAAACTGACTTGGGTCCTGAGAAAGATTCTTGCAGTGGAAAAGGAACCCATAATTTAATAAAATTGCTGAGGCCTTTCCACAGTATTTGGAACAGATATGCAATGTCAGGCCGTCAGATTAATAAAGTCAGTTTTGTAACAAGAGGATTTTGTTTTGCACTTTTGTAGGGAAAATCTTAGAACCAGACAAAAACATGAGGAGAAATTACAGCAAACCTACACTACTAACCATGATCCTACAATAGAAACAAAAAATGTTAGGGAAAAAAAACAGCCCATGAAAACTTCTCTTGAAATAAAAAAAGTTCCTGTGGCAGAACAAAATAAAAAGTAAAAAGTCCAGCACCTTCAAGAGTCTGTTCAATATACATTTTGTTAGGATTTCCCTTTCAGTAATAAGCATAATTTTCTCTGCTTATTTAAGTACACATAAATATCACCAGACTGTTGTAAATGCATGGTAACGTAAGTCAAGAAGTGCTTAAATTTAGGGTTGAGAAGATTTGTAATAATATTTAGTATGTTAGGATGATAGAAGCAAATTATAAGCAAAGCCTGTGTACCTAGAAATTAGTGAAACAAGAGTGTTTAAATTACTATTTTATAATCATGTGCAGGTTGTTGCAGTGAAATTATGAAAACTAGTCCAAGAATGTATCCCACGTCCTACCCAATGACCGCCAGAGATAGGCACCAGCCCCCATAACGCTGCAAGGGTAAATGGATGTGGATAATAAAGGAATGGACAGAAATATGAAATAATAATCCTTTTTGTCAAAATGTCACTTGTCAACTTTTGGGCTGCTGTGTAAATAAACTAAATCACCAACTCATTTGAAATGAATTTCCAAGGCAGAATAAGTTTCCACTGTCTCTACATGTCATTTAGTTTCTCACATCCCAAACACACCTATACATCACCAGTCTGTAAGTCTGAGAAACCCAGCATGGGGTCTTTTATCCCTCAGAGTCCAGGAGGTGTCAAACCCCCTCTTCCTCCCCTTTTAAGAGAAAAAAATAAATAAAATAAAAAATAACAAAAAAAAAAGTAGCTTGTCTGTCTGGCAGGACAGGCCGGGTTATTACAGTGTGTTCATGGTCCCATCATGTGTCGTCAGACCAAAGCGGAGGCCGCGAGTAAAAGCTTCATGCAAAATTTATGTTCATGCGGCTGTTTCAGTGGGTGGAAAAATCAATATTGCGAGGCTGATGCACGGAGATGACTGAGTGCTCTTTGACTGACAGTAAAAGCTGAGAGAGATTGAGCGGCTACATTTACTGTGCTAGAAATGGAGTGGCGTAGAGTTGCCCTAATAGTCTAGTTCAGCTCAAATTTGAATTTCATTGTGGATTATTTTTGCAGCAACTAGGATATTGAAGCGTTGAAGAATTACACCATTAGATAAAAAACGGGGAGTGAAAGTGCACTAAGCAAGCTTGTCTTCAAATGGTCTAAAACACATCTTGCGTGTGGTTTGTGTGCAGCTACAGCGCTCTTGATTAGGGAGTTATTAAGGCTTCCCTTCTTGCACAGATATATAAAATGATTGTAGAATAATCAAAAGACAATGTGGGTATGAGAGGGACATCACAGGCCTTTTGTTCTGCGCTGCTCCGCTTACATATGATTTTGATAACGTGCCACACACACACACCCAGAGTGCATTTGGGAAGAAACGTGAGAATAAGAAATTCAGTGGGATGAAATAACCCCAAACAATGGGATTTGCTTTCCATTCTTCTGCCTCCATCTTCTGTCTTTAATTATTCCCTTTGGTTGTCTGAGGGAGCGTGTAAGCACTTTCACACAGCACAACATGCCCGGCAGCACAACACTGTCTGCTTTAGTGATGTGGAGACTTCTGAGTGACACTGAGCCTCTTGTGATTATTAATGCTGTTTAATACAACACAGAGTGAGCCACTATGACGGCGGGAAAATAAAGAAAAAGAAAGATTTCAGAATGCATGCATTCAAATGTGCAAGCGATGTGAACAGAATTATGTACTACATGAGCACCTCACTTCAGATATGCATCCCCCACTGCTACATAAACAACGTGTACGACGTGAAATGAAGGGTAATTTTTGTAGATGCAACAAAGGGGACGTGTGTGTGAACAGCAAGCCCGCTGTGTTTTGTACACAGTGTCTAATGGACCCTCGGCTGATCCTGGTGGGATCCTTTGTGCCGGTTTAGTAGTTTCTTCCTGAATCGCATATGAGATATTTGAGAGCCCAGAACGATGTATGATGAATGAAGCAGCATGCTACTTATACGCTTATCGTGCTCACTGACTAGCAACAGGTTCAGCAAGGGGCAGCGGCAGTAAATGAAATTCCTCACCGGGACAATATATCATCAAAAGAAATGTATGCGCCCTGAAACTTACAAGCCTTCTTCGGATGCGGACAAGGTGCCTGACGGGGCTGGGGGAAGGGTGGAGGTGGAGAGGCTGGGGAGGAAAAAAAAAGAACGAGAGGAGAGTGGGATTTTTTTTCCTTTTTTTTGGTTGGATTTTGTTGAATCAGTCCTATTTTCATACCGGATGGTCTGTGTCTTTTAACCATTTCACTGCAGCTGGCAAATGGAAGCATAGGGATAATTTCACAGTGAGAGCTCACTGAACAAAACCCCCCACGGTCTGTGGAAAAAGGTGCTAAGTCTACTTTATCATTGTGAATTACGCTAGAGTAATTCAGCAAGAAGAGAAGAAAAGGTTTTTTTCCCCTCCCACCTCCTCTTCTTAGTGAGGATTTCTTCTGATCTGTAAGTAACAGATCCTTCTCCTGTACTGATGCCACACGATCCATCTCTGATGTGTCTGCAGTTAGTCCAGAAATAGCACCCACGGGACCAACGTGCTGCTCAGGCCTCCTGTGGGACCTTTTAAGCTGCACTGATACTGATAAAAGCCCCCACAAACCTGCCCCCCAGAAACCTCGGCCATTAATTAAGGTAATTAGGCTCTGGTCAGCAATTAGTAACCACAGACGGCTTTTAGCAGCAGCTAAGGCATCCCCACAGGAGAGGGCTTTGGTTCCATACCATCTGCTGACAAATGTCACCGCAGACTCTTTGGTTTCACAAACAGGGAACTGGAGAGCTGTGTTTAAGTGACCTCTGTGTGATCCACGCTACCTTCTTGTCTCCCACAGCTTCGCTGCAGAATCGCTGCGTTTGTTCTTTGCCTTTCTTTGGTTCCTTTGTCTTAAAAAAAACACAAGAGCGAGTTTCTATGAAAATCTATAAATGTTGTACACAGAGAGTGGGAAAAGGAAACACCAGGCGCACCAAGTATCGAACAAAATTAAAACATATGGGCTGTTTAGAAAGTATTGATTAGAGTGTAAAGCAACATGGATTTGCTTGTATTATTAACGCTACTATAGATCCATATTGATATTATGCTGGTTTATACTATAAGGTTTAATACTGCTATTTTAAACATTACCTTATAAATGTTGCAGAACATACGTTGATCTAAATGCTTTTAAATAACATTAAGTTAATTTTACAAACAAATATGCACTAAATTAGACCTCATCTTAATGAGGTACTTCTGCAATATTTTTTGTCTCAAAAAAATTATAGATATGAAGTACTCTTTATTGTCCCCTGAAGGCTGTTTACTTTGAGTATCATACACAGATTTTCCTATTTGAAGTGATTAACAGTTCTGTGGATGATTCAGTAGTCTCTCTGTTGTTTGTAAATGTCCTTTTAGATTATTTGCTTCACAGTCTGGTGATAATGACCTTAAGCCCAGAGGACACTTCGATAGTAAGAGGTGGTATATTTTATATTTCACATCCCATATAACTGTGTACTTATATACATTAATATGAGATCTGGGGTCATACATATGGATCTATTTTACAATCCCAGCCACTAAAATCTGTATCAGCTGTGCATAGAGGGCAATGAAAGTCACTCCAACTTGCCATATGCATTATTGAAATGCAGCAGGCGAATGTAAAGCACTGGAAATATATAATCGAAAACTATGTGTGATGAGTATGTGTATCATTGTGATGGAAATTACATAATTCCTTCCTATATCATATTGATTACCAGAAGAAAACACCAAGACACTCACCTCATGGTGTTAGATGCCTGAGACTCAATTGAAACTGACAGCTCAACATACTTTCTGATTTATTCAGCTAATAATCTTCTATGACTTCAGGAAATACATAATGTTTAGAAATCTGACCCTTAGACAGTCAGCCTATCCCTATATATATATATATATATATATATATATATATATATATATATATATATATATATATATATATATATATATATATATATATATATATATATATGAAAAACAAACAAAAATAAAGCAGATTGTGCAACAAAAGCTAAAATATATTGATGCAGCCAAATCCTATCAATTCCGCTGAATGATTATAGAAGCCGTACTACACTATCATCATTGTGTTTTTAAAAATGCTAAATGACATTTCAAGATAAAAAAGAAAATTACATCAGATTATCAGAGATTCAGATTAGGAGCAGTGAGTTTTAAATTGTTCTAAAACCATTCAACAATAGTAGTAAGGAGGCTGAAACTATACTTAAAAAAAGTAAAATATGGGTAACAACAAAAACCTGCAAAAACCTAACCAAAACCAAATTACAGATAACAATGTAAAGCACTGTCAAATAAATTTGAAAAAAAAAAAAACTAATTTGACAGTTTTACTAAATTCAAAACATACTGAGGTTATGTGAGATTAAAGATGCTACGGTAAAAGACACTGATAAAAAAAAGGCTGAATGCACCCGTTCAACTCCAGATGATAGATCATGCAAAAACTCACATTACCGAGGAAAAGGAAATAAAGGATGCAGCTGTGCTTCTTTACACAATTCAACATTTGAAGCAGTTGGTGATAACACCATTTTCATTCCGGTTCAGTCCCATAAAATTACCATTAACATTACAGCTCATGCAGAACACAGATAAATGTAAAATGTCACCCAGTTCTGCCAGGCAAGAATTTCAGTTCCACAAGATTACCATCTCTTTCTGCTTCCTCCCACTGTACCTTGTTCTAATATTTCATTTACAACATTTCATAAGTTCATTTTCCCCTTACTAACCATGTAAATCACAAATCAATTTTCAGTTAAAATGCTTGACTAAAGATTGGTGCTGAAAGCTTCTTGATTTGCACCTTAGGAACAAGGCAGACCTTAAGCAAATCTTTTGGAAACAGTGCGGCTGGAAGAGGAAAGCAAAAATGAGATGTAATTTCCACAAAACAACTCCTGGGTCAAACAGTCAAGCCATTAACTAGAAGCACTTTATAAGGTCCTAAATATCACGGAAACAATACCCTGATGTGTTGAAATCTCTACTGCATTCAATATTCATCATTTACTAGACCTCAGTGGTTGACCAGTCTATTAAACAATGATACGGCACATGATCATGAAAACATCAATTGCAATGATTATGCATAACTGTTGGATATATATATACACTATATTGCCAAAAGTATTTGCTCACCTGCCTTGACTCACATATGAGCTTAAGTGACATCCCGTTCCTAATCCATAGGGTTCAATATGACGTCGGTCCACCCTTTGCAGCTAGAACAGCTTCAACTCTTCTGGGAAGGCTGTCCACAAGGTTTAGGAGTGTGTTTATGGGAATTTTTGACCATTCTTCCAGAAGCGCATTTGTGAGGTCGCACACTGATGTTGGACGAGAAGGCCTGGCTCTCAGTCTCCGCTCTAATTCATCCCAAAGGTGTTCTATCGGGTTGAGGTCAGGACTCTGTGCAGGCCAGTCAAGTTCATCCACACCAGACTCTGTCATCCATGTCTTTATGGACCTTGCTTTGTGCACTGGTGCACAGTCATGTTGGAAGAGGAAGGGGCCAGCTCCAAACTGTTCCCACAAAGTTGGGAGCATGGAATTGTCCAAAATGTCTTGGTATGCTGAAGCATTCAGAGTTCCTTTCACTGGAACTAAGGGGCCAAGCCCAGCTCCTGAAAAACAACCCCACACCATAATCCCCCCTCCACCAAACTTTACACTTGGCACAATGCAGTCAGACAAGTACCGTTCTCCTGGCAACCGCCAAACCCAGACCCGTCCATCAGATTGCCAGATGGAGAAGCGCGATTCGTCACTCCAGAGAACGCGTCTCCACTGCTCTAGAGTCCAGTGGCGGCGTGCTTTACACCACCGCATCCGACGCTTTGCATTGCACTTGGTGATGTATGGCTTGGATGCAGCTGCTCGCCCATGGAAACCCATTCCATGAAGCTCTCTGCGCACTGTTCTTGAGCTAATCTGAAGGCCACATGAAGTTTGGAGGTCTGTAGTGATTGACTCTGCAGAAAGTTGGCGACCTCTTCGCACTATGCGCTTCAGCATCCGCTGACCCCGCTCCGTCAGTTTACGTGGCCTACCACTTCGTGGCTGAGTTGCTGTCGTTCCCAAACACTTCCATTTTCTTATAATACAGCTGACAGTTGACTGTGGAATATTTAGGAGCGAGGAAATTTCACGACTGGATTTGTTGCACAGGTGGCATCCTATCACAGTTCCACGCTGGAATTCACTGAGCTCCTGAGAGCGACCCATTCTTTCACAAATGTTTGTAAAAACAGTCTGCATGCCTAGGTGCTTGAATTTATACACCTGTGGCCATGGAAGTGATTGGAACACCTGATTCCAATAATTTGGATGGGTGAGCAAATACTTTTGGCAATATAGTGTAGGATAGATCAAGTATTTTCTTAGTAACGTATAATCTTAAAAAAGAGAATTAGAAAAGATATGTGGTTACACTTTACAATAACCATCATAATAGTTAAGTGATCATTTATTTTGTTTGACTCACATCCAAACTATTTATAAAAAGGTAAATAGATCCTTTATTAAGGAATTAAGCCTACTGATATTGGGGTAAGTTCAACATTACAGGGCAAGTTAGATTAAAACTAAAGGCTAGGCTCAGGTCTTAAATCCACTGATGTTAGGGATAGGGCTCAACTAACATGACAGGACAATGTAACTCAAAGTCAGATTAGGATTAGCCAAGAAGCTCACTGATGTTTGGGCTATTTACCTTTTATAAATGGCTTAGATCCAGTTCATTAATGGTTATAAACCGTTAATAAATTATATGTTAATCATTAATAAATGGTCTGTTTACCATTTATAAATTATGGTTATGATGATTATTCTAAAGTGTGATATTTCAAAGATATTTTAATGGATGTTTGTTTATGACACTGTTTCCCTAAACTTTGCGATGCATTTAAATGATAGCATCTAATGTTAATTTTTGTATGTTTAAATGAAAAAGTCAAATGATCACAAAAAAGCTCCAGAGCTATTTGTGAAAATTAAATCAATTGTATTATAAACTTATATATTATTCATTTTTCATTTACTGTAGTTCTGACCCTTTAGGGGCCATTTGG